TCGCCGGCGGCGGAGGCGGGGAGGGGGTGTGCTCCCCCGGGGGTTGGGTTGGGTCGGTGGTGGTGGTGGTGGTGGTGGTGGTGGTGGTTATCGAGCAAGACAATTCTGCGCAGCTTTGCCCAAGGACTGCAGAACGCTGTGCGCCGGGGCAGTGGTGCGCCGGCCCGGCCACAGCCCCCGCAGTGCGGCGTCAGGCCTCTCAGCAGCGTGCGGAGAAAACCACGTCCCATGTCTGGCGGCAGCAGCACTGAGGAGGACTGCATGCATCACCGTAATCATTTATCAAAGGGACTGCAACTTACAGTGATTTTTTTTTATCGTGTTACGAGATTAAAGACATCTATGTAGCTGGTTATACTGTAAAGGATACGGTATGAGCTCTTCTCTAAACACAGTAGATTAAAATCAAAACTGCTCCATGTAGAATTAAAGGAGAATTGGCACGTGACTCTGTACAAGGTGTTCAATACCAGTCTGCACATGCATTATTTTTTAATGGGGGGAGGGAGGAAGACTTGTAAAACCAAGAAATCATTTAGCTGGTAAGGCATTTTATATGTTTTAAACTGCACATTAATTAAACCAAGTTAGGAAGTTGTACTATAGTTTTTAAAAGGAAGCGTTTTACAAGCAATCGTTTCGTTCTGTGGTGTGTGTTTTTTGCCTCTCTTGTTTTTCCTCATTTTTTTCAGCTACAGGGAAGTGGCACTTGCAGCCATCTTTTATTGAAGGAGCTTCTGAGCAGGGAGGCGAAGTGGGCTAGGAGGAATACCTAAAAATGCAGCCAAAACACTTCTGCCTAACTGGCTTCACACAAAGGATGGCTTTGAACAGTAAACACTGGACATGCTGTTTTACCTCCGATCTGGCAGCAGGGCTTCCTGACGATCTGGCCTTCATAATCATGAAGAAGTGGGTCATGAGAAGTCCTAGGACTCCTTCCTGCAAGGATGTGATAGAAAGTTGTTGTTCTTTTTCTTTTTCTAGAGGTTGGGTTTTCTTAATTGTTTTTAAAGAATTTAGACCTGGTTTGCCTCCTTCTTTCCTAGGAGATGCAACTGTGCACCCATGGATGGTGTAACACAGGAGTTGCTCTAGGGAAGCCTCACCATCCCAACTGTGACCCAGGACCCTTATGTGCAATCATCTAGTAAGAGGCAGTGACATAGCTAGGAGGAGAACCCAGGCCAACCTAACCTATTGGGTGGGCTACCCCTCCTAAACCACTGTGGCTGTCCTGGTGTCAAAATGTCTGGGCGAGCATAATGGAGCCTTTTTCCACATTTCAGTCTTACAGATGTTGGTGTTTGTAAGGACAGATTTGAAAAAGACACAGGAAGTGTCTCCTCCATCTGTGAGTCTCATGAAACCCCAGTCATTTGCAGTTCACTTCTTGGAAAGAGCCAAATTCCTGAACCTTCACTGCAGTAGTGCATTGCTCTAAGCAGTCCCACTAGCTTTAGTAGTACTGCTTATAAGTTAAATAGAGCTCAGTGTGAATTTGGGTATTTGGCAAGTCTGAAAGCTGAAATTTGTGTGAGATTTGGGGTTCGGATCAAAGAAGCACATGACAGACCTTTAATAAGACAGAAAAAGCTATTGATTTGCACTGGTTCTTTTTGCAAGTACAAAGCATAACCTCCCTGAAGCGTGACCTCTTGTCATCTACCTACTGCTCTTTCTAGTAATTAATTAGAGATTGCTCAATGCCATATTATAACACCAGAGAACATAATTTTGACTATGCAGTGCCCAAGTTGGCCCTGTAGACGTCGGTGGTTTTCTGGTTATGTTACAAAATCCAGTTGCCGGTTCACAATAAATATTCTCAGCTAGGACTTCTGTCAGGAACATACCTCTAACTTCGTGCTGGATTTCTTCTCCTCCCTGTTTCCAAACCACCATTTTCTTCCTTGATTCCTGTTAACTGAAGAATAGCATATATGGTGCTTAATTGTTATGGTGTGTGTTGGGTCACGTATGGAAAGGAACCATTGTGCTGATTTTTGTCTACTGTCATACGTACGCATAGCACAGCAAAAAAAAAAAAAAAATCCTCAGATAACACATTCAATGCCTTTTTCATGCAAGGCCCATGTGTAGTACGCCTTGAACCTGGCTTACGAGTGTTGTAATTACATGGACACCTCCGCAGCATGTTTAATTTGGTTGCAGTAGGGAACAGCAGGAGTTCCAAAATGTGTCCTGTGAACATGCTAGTCTCTTGTTGCCAGTAGGTAGCCAGATTTCTACTGACATCCGTGCTACGCTGCTTATTTTGTAAAGGAAAGCCAGTTCACAAAAACCCCTTGCCTTTATCAGACTCTCGAGGAAGTGACCAGATACAGGACTCAACCCTCTACTGCCTTATCCCCTGTAGCAATCGCTGGGTGTGCCGGGAGCGTATAGCATAGCTGGAAGATGCTCCGAGAACAGCGCTGATGCATTTTGCACCAACTTCTGCATTTGTTTATCCGAGTTGTCAATGACTGCACAAAAATGCGAGGCAGTCAAAGAGCAGGTCCTGGAGATACAGTGCTGGTAATGTTAACCTCCTTCTGGCCGTACCTGCCTGACTGAAGCTCTTGAGGCTGAGGTTTCTCTGGTGTTGCAGAGAACGGCGTCTTGAAAACCACCCCTCTTTGTCCCTACATGGAGGGTACAGTATGAAAGAGAAATCAGAAATTAGGTTAAAATACCACACTGCATAACACATTATGCAACAGGCAGACCTGGAGTTTATCCGGTATTAATGACGTAAGTATTATATTAGCAGAATACCATCCTGTATTACGTGACACAGTACATTGTTTCATTAATATGAATTTCCTGTACTTTTTGTGCCTGCTGAAATGCATGTTTGACCTAATTTCTGACCCAGACATTTGCCTGCTCACAGCCTTGTGTAAGAGCAATAAGTAAAACCTCAAGATTTTTGTCTGCGTGCGCACGTGGTGTGTACGTTCATTCCTTTTTATAAATAGGAGTTCTGGAGATGTTTTTGTTCTGGCTTTAGACTGTGACTATCAGTTTAAATTTGCAGCTGCCATATCATGTTGGATCACCTAGCTTTTTTGCTGACTTGCTTAGAAGTGAACTAAATAGTTTGTTGTAATGTACAGTGTTAAAATGTTTCTCAAGTATGTTGATAGTCATACTACTTTAAAAATGCAGTGCAGTCTGTCCCATTCCTTGGTCCAGTACCTGGCATTAAAAAGTGATACTGCTATATACACCCCTAAGGGTTTTTTTTTTTATTTAATTTTTTTTTTTAAAAAACAGCCTTGTCTTTGTAATTTTTCTCTGTGGAGAAACACATTGGACTTGTGTCAAAATCATCAGGTTCTGGGCTAGTTTTTGTGCTCTGGTGTCCAGTAAGAAATCACTGCCCAGTTCCACCAAAAAAAAAAGAAGGAAACTTACTGTGACACCAGTACTGTTTGAGCAACCAAAATTTGTGCTAAAACTTGTGGGTAATTATTCAAGCACCTGCATTTTTAGAGCAAATTACTCTGTATGAATGTGTATTTATTTGCTTGTTTAATGGGAAGGATGTGTGTGTTGGGGTCCAGCTTTGGGTTTTTTTGTGGAGGGTCCCAACTTCCATTTTTGGCTTGTGCTTTCTTGGCAAACAGACTTTAGGTTCACTCTGTGAAATTTTATTTAGTGAATTTTAAAAATTCAAAATATGCAATTTTGGTATGTGGGATTTTTTTAGGAAATTGTGTGTTCAGTGATTGTTCATGCTTAACCAAGATGTAAAGGAGCCTGGATGTTTTGTAAACATGGAGCAATCATGAGTCCAAAGTTTCATCTTTATTAATGAAGCTCAGTCTGAATAAAACATTAGCAGGAAAAGAATGATATCAAGTGAATTATGGTACCTCTGTTACTTTGCCATCAAATGAAGAGCATGGAAGGGAATTTGGCAGAATTGCTCCCTATTTTATGAGGGGGTGGCTGAAATTCGGCTCTCAGTGTTTTAAGGCAAAGTGTTAAGTGTGGGTTGTGGTAAATAGTATAAAGGTTTTTCATGTTTTAATTACCTTGGAACACAGAATTACAGCTGATGACTACTCAGCCACATAACAGATTTTTTTTTTTCTTTTTTCTGTTTTAATCAGATGACTTAAAAGTTTTAAATAAATTTTTTGCTTATGGAAGTGAGGGATTAGTGGCCTTGACTTAAGGATGTATTGTACAGACTGGCATGCCGTCTCCCCCTTCCCCTTGAGCCCCCCTTCCCAGTCACGTTATTGCTAGAGCCCTGGGCAGCCAGCCTTTCTAATACTGCAAATGCTTTTCTGGAGTAGAGATGGCTGACGTTGCACTGGTTTTGTTACATTTATAACGGGGCTAAAACAAAACCAAACAATTCATACATGACTTGAGCTCTTCTGTAGGTGTCCCGGTGTCAAAAACTCGTGGCACCAATCTACTCTGTAAATTGCTCCAAGCGTCTGCGTTCCCTGGATCTTCTTGCACCGATGCCACGAAGCGGAGAGTGTTGCCTCCTCCCAGTCCTAGAAGGGGGCCGTACCCACCATCCACAGCTAAACTGCACCCAGGGAACGTGGCCTGCTGGCTTGAGACACTTGTGTGAGTATGGCAGGAGATATTCACATGTCAAGTGAATGCATCTCAAGTAAATGTTGGGGCTGAAACGCACAGAAAGCATGGCTTGAGACTTGGGTTTTTGGGACTTTTTCTGTGGGTGGATGGAGGGGGTGGGGGGAAGGTACATGGCAGCAAATGAGTCCCAGCATCATCAGGGGGGCTGTCAAAGGATCTGCTGGCCCTGAAGGCAAAGCTTTTTGTGCAAGAGCTTCAGTAGGGCAAGATTGTCTGGAAATGCTGCAGTGGATTTACGGCGTTAGTGACCTTTCTGGTGCTGTACACTGTCTGTAGGCCTGACAGCTGGGGCTGTTGTGTTCTTTCTCTTTGTCACTTTACCTCTTGCATGCTCGTGTCAACAAGCAAAGCTGCTTGCTTCTTCCTCAAGTTGAACAATTTTACAGACATTCCTTAAATTGCCCTGAGCATCTCTAATGAAAAAAATTACCTTCCAAGTTCAGTGAAATTTAATGCTTAATAAATGTTTGGAAAATACATTTTTCAAGCATTTCTTTATGCTTTATACATTTTTGGTTTAGTTCTAAGTAATTCCTGTAATTTTTGTGTTAAGCATGTTCCTGAGCATCAGAGGCAATTCCAAGGGATTAGGAAAGACGTACAGCCAGAAGAAAGTATTTCCTATCCCACTGTCCATCCCACAGTCCCCTTCAGATCTACACAAGTCTGTTTTCACTCTCCTCATCGATACCACACTGAAGCACCTAAGCATGGGGATGAAATGGGGACTTGTGGGCATGCATGGAGCCCCTATACATATGAGCACAGGGACCTGTTTCCGTGCTTGGGGAGGGGTATGCATACAGCACATGCTCACACGTAGTAGAGAGGGGCCAAGAGGTTTAGAGAAAGGACCTCAGGCTCTTACATCTCAGGAAGGTCATATACTTTATGGTGCTGGGATGATGAGGTGCTGAGACAGCTTGGTAGCATGAAGCCTAGGTATTGCTACCTGGATTTCATGTGCGATGAGTTGGTGTCCCCTCTGAGCTGTCTCCTGCAAACCGACTCCTGCTGCTGTTGGATGGGACTCGCTGCTCCACAGGTCACATCTCGTCTGGGGTTCAGGTGAGGAGCCACATCATTGCTCTGTGCCTCCAGGCTGGGATGTCCACCCAAAAGGGAACAGCC